TCACCGCCAAAAATTATAGCTGATTATGATGATTCAACAACAGATATTGATGACGATAATTTAACAGAAATTGATATTCATTCTTCAAGTACTGAAGTAATTGATGATGATGAAAATGAACCACCACCGGCAACAAAACCGAAAAGAAAAAAGAAGCAACAAGTTGTAATTCGAAAATCAACAAGAAAAATCAATAATGAAACTGCAACAAATGTTGATCCGGTAATACAATCATCAACAATTGATGATATGAACATTTGGACACAAAAATATCGACCAAAAACTATCGATAATATGATTGGACAAACGAATGAAATTAAAACGTTTAAAAATTGGCTTGAAAATTGGGACATGAAATTCAATAATGATGATAAATATGATGACGAAGACGATGACGATGATGTTGATTGTGTTGGTAAATGTTTTTATATATTTGGATCGAATGGTATCGGTAAAACATCAATGGTTTATGCTGTAGCCAAAGATTGTGGATACAATATACTTGAATACAATGCAACCATTAAACATTTGACACCGAAATCATTGCAAAATGAATTATATGAATCATCACAATCATATCTGATTGATAATTCAACATGGCAAAATAATCATGAACAAATTTTTAACGGTTTTTCTAAATCATTAATTCTATTCGATGATATTGATGCAATTATTTATGAAAATAAATCATTAAACGAATTATGGCGATCATTGAAAACAATCATACGATATTCACGAAAACCGATAGTAATTACATCGGATTTGCAGCCATCATTTTTATGTAATGAACAAAATTTTTTCCACATAATACAATTACGTCCTGTTCGATTTGAATTGATTATTGAACATTTGGATCAGATTTTTAATATGGAATCTATCGATAATAAACTAACTAATCATAATGGTGATTTTTATGGAATTTTATTCGAATCGAATGATTTAAGAAAGATGATCAATCAATTGGATTTTTGGTTTCCACACAAACAAATTCATAATCATCATCAAAGTCAATCATTGGAAACGAATCTCAAAACATATTATCAACATTATATGAATAAAATATTTATGAATACAGAAAAATCATTGGATAAACAATCAAAAATATTAGAAACATTATCGAATGATGATTTATATCAGACCAATATTGATCGATTTTTGAATAAAAACGATGAAATGGATGAAAATCGATATAATGCCTATTCGATCGATAAACGATATACATTAATAAACGAAAACGATAACAGCAACAACAACAACAACAATCATCATCATCATATTACGATGAAAAAATTTCATGATGATCATTTATGGCTATATCAATGTGATCATAATTTTATTTGTACACAAATGACCACCGATTTAACATTTGAATCATTACAAATGATACAAGATTATTATAAATACAATGATCTTTATAGTTTAACAAAATTTGATTACCTTTCATTATTTGAATTTGTTATTGAATCATTTCCCGGATTATTTTCATCATTATATCCATTGCATTGTATTATTCCACATGATGATGAATCTAATCAACATAAACATCGGACACGATCATCACAGAAACGAAAACGTCGATTACAATTTATACAAATTGAATATTTTGATTGAAATTTTAAAATTAATTTTCACATATCTATATCAAAATGAAGCAAAATAATAATAATAAATGAAATATATCAATTTTACACACACACACACACACATCGTAATTTGGAACGATTTCTGTTTTCATCAAAATGAATTGTAAAAAATGGGAATTTTTTTTCAAATTGTTGTTTTCGATACCAATATTCGATGGCGCTAGAATCGTAGTGTGTGTGTGTGTGTGTGTGTACAGAGAGAAAGTAATAAAAAAAAGGCAGAAGCACACATATTCAAATTCGATTTATATATGGACATGTTTCTTTCTTTATGCTTATTCTTCTTCCTTTTGTTGGTCTGTGTTGTTGTTGTTGCTGTTGATGCTGTCCAATCCATACATCCATACATGATGATTAAAATTTTATATTTCTGCTCATATAAAATATGAATAGAATTGCTTTGCCACCACTACACGAGACAATAACGACAACAACAACCAAATGATCATCATCATCATCATCATCATCATCATAATCATTATTTTGCCAATATAATAACGATGATGATGATGATCGATATGAGATAACAATTTATATATGTTATATTTGCTCCCAGTTCTAATAATAATCATCATCATTATTATTATTATTATTGTTTCCTCCAGGTGGTTTTGAAAACCCATCCCTACCCATTATTATTGTCACATATCGTTTATTTTCTAAAAAATAAGTCGTCAATTTTTTAAATTTATTATCAAGAAATTCTTTCATAAAAATCACACATTCAACCATTCTAGAAATTATCAAATTCATGAATATATTCGAATTCATGTGTGTGTGTGTGTGTGAAACAAACACGTCATTTTTTTCCATCACCAAAAATAAATATATAGCCAAAATAAATTTATCAAAATAATACTTTCTCATATTGATGATCAATTATTGTTTGTTGATAGGATTTTTTTTCAATAAAAAAAAACTCATTGATTGATTATTATTAATGGCTGTAAGAAAAAAAGAAATGAAAATTTAAACATTTTTCATCATCATTCATATATATATCAACTCATCGTTGTCATTTTTTCAACATTATATTGATTGCAAAATCAAATCCATCCATGGCCATCAGCATTATCATCATCATCATACAAGCTTCGAACCAAATTAAACTTTCCATTTTGAAAACAAACAAATGAACCAAGGTCAATCATCATCATCATCATCATTTGAATGTCAACAAGTTTTCATAGCAAGATAGAGAAAAAGAAAGAGAAATAGACAGAAAAAAAAGAAGAAATAAAAGTAAAGAAGAAATTACGCCATAATCGAATATCAATCGTGATTATAACATCATCATTGAAATCGACACCAACAACAACAACAACAAAAAAATGAAGAAAAACTAAAATAAACAGTTTTTAACCCGACTTTTTACTCTATTCAGTATTGTTCATTTTTTTTTTGTTTGTTGTAAATCCTGCCATCACAAGTTGAATGAACATTGGCAAAAGCAACAACAACAACAACGACAAAAACCATATTGTGTGGTGTAAATTGATCTGGTGCATATACATATTCTTTTTTTTTTGTCATTTCCGAATCACACTGACATTACAATTTCACATGTGTGTGTATGTGTATGCATGCCGGTAATTGTCATGTAGACAAAAAAATATATATGCAAAAACCGAAGAAGAAAAAAAAATTATCGAAAATTTTTTATTGATTCAATAAACATGATTTTAGCGAAAAAAAATTGATTCGATAACATAAGACCAAAGCATAAGCATCCCGTAATAACCACCTATTTGTTCATCGATTAGAGGTTATTATTGAAAGACAGAAATTTCTCAATTTTATCTTCCAGGATCGTTTTTTGTTTTATATCAAGCCTTATCATCATCATCATCATTATATTGTATCTAGGTTTTAAATTATAAATTTATCACATTGTCTCTCTTTGGCTTTCCATCCATCCATCCATCCATTCATCCATCCATCCATTTATTTTCCTCCAAATTATATCTTAATACTTTGACTGAACCAAATTGTTTTTATTTTCAAGGTAAAATTATAATTTTTAATAAATATCATATTTTTTCTAATTCAATTTGAATTTTTTTTTCAATTAATTCACAATTTTCAGAATGGATTTAGATGATAAATCATTGGATAGTGAAAATAGCCAAAATGGACCAAATAGTGATTATGATTGTCCAAATGATGAATTGAGTATTGAATTTGATCATGATCCATCGATATCACCATTGGATATGAGACTTGTCTGTGATTCATTTAGACGTTCCATTAAGGATAAATCTGAGATTGATTTATGCCTTTATCTAAAAGCATACAGTGAATTAGCCGTCCGATCTCTGTCTCTAAATTCTTACAACAAAACCTTGGTTTCTTCAAACAACAATTCTGCCAAATGAATCTTGTCCAATCGTTTCAGTCTGTGCCATTAAAAAGAAGAAATAGATCAACTTTCATCAAATTTTTTGCTTTTCATCAATTAAGAGCATGTTACGATCAATTTCAAGCTAATTCTCCTTTCGTCAGCTCACATGATCATTTTATTGACGATCGGGGTTTAATTGTTTATCGCATGAGAGATGGCGTAACTCAATGCTAAACATAACGGTGTTAAATTATCTTTGGCTCAAATCCAGTGGAACTTGTTATTGGCGACGCCAACCGATCAATGGCGCGTTTAATTTACCGATGTGTTCTTTGTCGGAAACGACGCGGAAAAGGAATATCCGTTCCTTTTGGGCCAACGTACCATGAAGTGGACGTGTTCAGTGGTCCGTTGCTCGCATTGCCATTGACGGTTTTGGCCGCGATATTATTGTTATCATTTTTCCACGAAGTTGGATTCCCCAAGTTCATCATTTCAGATAATGGTACCAATTTCAAACCGATCAAATTAGCCCTTGAAAAGGCGAAAATGTCCGTTGTATGGTGGACGACAGCTCCATCTGCTCCTTGGCAGAACGGAACGGCTGAGCGTTTTGTTCAGATGGTTAAGTCATGCTTGTCTATTTACGACAAGAAATGCCGTTCTTTCTATGATGTAATGTTAAGATTTCGGGAAGTCGAATCCATAATTAATGCCCGACCAATTATCGCCAACGATCGTCCTATCTCGGCTTTTGAATTTTGTTTCCAACGTCCGTTTCATATCATACCTGAAAAAACTGATTTCAAACCTATCGATCTCGATCGACTATACCGTTTTAATTTGGATCTGAAAAAACGTTTTGTCAAACTTCTCCGTCTCCGTTATTTCAATCTATATAGGTTCCGTCCGAAAACTAAATCCGTATCGATCAACGTAGGTGATTTCGTCCTCATTCCGGAATCATATTTTTCTAATTCAATTTGAATTTTTTTTTCAATTAATTCACAATTTTCAGAATGGATTTAGATGATAAATCATTGGATAGTGAAAATAGCCAAAATGGACCAAATAGTGATTATGATTGTCCAAATGATGAATTGAGTATTGAATTTGATCATGATCCATCGATATCACCATTGGATATGAGACTTGTCTGTGATTCATTTAGACGTTCCATTAAGGATAAATCTGAGATTGATTTATGCCTTTATCTAAAAGCATACAGTGAATTGATCAAGTATGTCGATATTATTGTTATCATTAATCATTAATAGTAGATAATAATGTAATCTTTTTTTTATCCATAATCCAGATTCTTCAATATGTTTGGAGCATTATTCACATTTGTAACCAAAGATGTACATTCAAAGATTGAAATTTTAGAATCATATGCAAATGATGATAACCATGGTAGCAATTATCGTACAATCGCTTTAATGATCGAATTTGAACGTAATCAAAATTTATTAATTGACCAAAAACGGCCTTCCGGTTCACGTACATTATTACGTTTACATCGTGCATTAGAATTTATATCAACATTTTTAATGGAAGTAACTAAATTAGAGGATGATGCTAGTACAGTTTCAGCTGCACGTTATGCATATAATCAAACATTAGCCAAATATCATCCTTGGTATGTAAGGAAATCTGTACAAATTGCAACCATTTCATTACCATATCGTCGTAATCTTGTTGAACGTGTTTATGGTGGCCGTTATCCAAATGGTGGTGCAAAAAAAGTAAATGATAATATGTCCTATATGGCTAATATTACCGAACAGGTATTCAAAGCAACACAAAAACTTTATGAAGAACATGAACTTCTTGATCTGCCATAATAATAATTAATTAATTAATTGAAATTGATATATATGATTATTGTTCATCCGGTTAATTCAATACAATGCAATTTGCAATACACACACACACACACACACATTCATTGCACGAATACACTGATTTGTTCATTAGAAGATTTTTATGTTCAAAAAAAAAAACAAAATATTTCTCTTTGTTATTGCCATAATTTTAATTAATTACACGTATATATTACCTTAATCAGATAAAAAAAAATCGAAATCAAACACTCTCATCTCTATAGACTCAAGAGTAATTGAAATTTTAGGAAAAAATTTATCAAATAATTGATATCACATAATGATAATTTATGATGAGTTTTATTTTTATGAAAATTAAATGGAAATGGATGGATTTTTTTTTTTTAATTTTTCCAATTTTGAATTTGATTTAGTTTTTTTTTAACCTTTTCGAAATATTCACATCATCATTTTTTGAATATATTTTTTTTAGGGCACGTGATGATGATGGATTCCATTTTTTTGTACGCATGCGTGATTTTTGGTATTGTGTTTCGATAAATCTTGTCTTTTTTTGTTTGATGCTCAAAATGCAAAAAAAAAACTGAAGTAGTGGTATGAAAAAGAATGGGTGAGAGAAAAAGGATACAATTGTTGTAGTAGTATTTTCAACGTTTTTTTTCTACTTAGCAATGAGTAGAACGACCACACCACAAACGAGCAGCGTAATTTTGTTGTTATTTTCTTTTTTGACTTATTTCGATTTTTTTTGTTGTTATCAAAAAATTTTTTTTTCTAAAAAAAATTCCATGATTTCAAGATTAAGATAAGAATTGCATCTACCAATTGTAAGACAATTTTTTTTTGTTTAATATTAATAATATATATAAAAGTTGTGGTTTGGACTTTCTATTTTGATTTTTCTTTGAATGAGCCATTAATTAAATTATATTATGTTTTAAAATTTTGGTTATTTTTTTTGTTGATTTCATTGAATTTTTGATTTTTATTATCCACAATGGATGTTTTGGCATCAATAATTTCATATGATTCTATTTTCAATAGCAAAACCATGAATTCTGGAACATGTGTTCAACATCCAATTCAATCTATTGGCTCAAAAAATCGACATCAACAACAAATAACATCAAATGGTAACAGAAGTGATACAACTGATGCTGGATCATCATCCAATAATGGGGAATCATCATCATCACCATCATCAACTGATTCAGATTTTAATTATGATAGATTTTCTTTGGATAATTTCTACAAATTAATGAGATTTGAACGTTTAAGAATGGTTACCTATATTCTATATGATCATCAATGGCCCAAAATGGATATAATTTCACCTGCTTCATTGGCAAAAGCTGGATTTTTCTATTATAAAGATGATAGTGTTTGTTGTGCATTTTGTCGTGGAAAAGTTCGCAATTGGGAAGAAGGTATGTGTATTATTTTCGATGATAAAAAAATCAATAAATCAATTTATACCTTATTAGGAGATTTGGCTATGGAAGAACATCGACGTCATTTTCCTAATTGTCAATTCGTGCAAGGCAAACCTGTCGGCAATGTTCCGATCGAATCAGATCCCGATATCAACTGTAATGATTCATCAAAAGTGTCAAATTTCTATATCGATAATGATCCCGGACAAGAACCAATCAAAATTAATTATAATAAATCAATGACGCCTAAATTTCCGCCATTTATTGAAAAGAACAAACGAGAAATGACCTTTTCACATGAAAATTGGCCTACAACCGGTAAACCTGACAAAAAATTGTTTATTGATGCTGGATTCTTTTTCACTGGAAAAGGAGATCGTACACGTTGCTACCATTGTGGCGGTAATCTAATAAACTGGAAACCCGAAGAAAATCCAATGGAAGAGCATGCATTGTTTTTTCCTGAATGTCCATTCATTATCAGTATTATGGGAGCTGATTATTTAGAATTCGTCAAATTCAAAAAACAGATAATTGAAATGCGCTCGAAAATGGAAACACCTTATGAATCAAAAGCTTATGATATAAATTGTTTACGTAAAATATCTTTTGAAAATTTTACAGCCATGAAACAAGCTGCACGACGAATATTAAGCCGATTGGGACAACCTAAACATACACAGCAAACTTATCAAGAATATTTGGATAAATTTTTCTTTTTTCTTGATTGCAACAAATTGTTTTATTATTTATCACGAATGAATGTTCTACAAGCTTCAAGTCAAGATGATATTAACATTGATGATAATGGCATTGATTCACCATTACGAAATTCATCCATATTCTGTTTACCAGAATCGAGCGATAGCGATTATTCTAGCTCAAATTCTGATTGTGAAGATATTTTATCACCAAAATCTGAACGAGAATCATCATTATCATCATCATTATCGTTACTTTGTAACAAAAATAGCAAAAACAATCACTCTAGTCTAATATGTTTGATATGTTATGATAAAATGATACAAGTTGTATTTCTACCATGTGGACATCAAATGGCTTGTATGAAATGTGCATCACAATTAAATACATGTCCAATATGTCGTCAGATTATTACGGATAAAGTTCGTACATATTTTGCACATGTAGATGAATGATGAAACAAAACAAAACAAAAAATATCTCTTTTTTTTCTCATCAACAATGAATGAATGAATGAATGAATTAATTAATTAATTAATGATTCACTTAATCTCTTTTTTGGCATGTTTTACTGTTTTTTATTAATCATCATAACACATTAAATGCTACATACATATATATGATATGATATATAATTTTATTTTATCACAATAAAATGATCAATAATCATTGATTTTTTTTTCTTTATGATGATGATGATGATGACGACAAAATAATAAATAAAATAAAATAAAATTAAGACGTAATTTTCAACAAAACAAAAACAGACACACAGACAACAAAATGTTTTCTCTCTCTTTCTTTCTTTTTTTCTTTGTAATTCAATTTTTGCACTTGAATTGTAACAATTTATTTGGAACATCAGATAATTTTCTTATATATTAAAATTCATCATCATCATCATCATTTGATTCAGCAGCTATATAATTGATGATTTTCAATAATAAAAATCAATTTGATTTTTTTTTTTAGTTTATATTTACATATAATAGTTTGATTGTCAACAAAACACACGCACAAATGATATATGATTATAAACAACGTTTTATTGTTTCTACTATTTCATTATTTTCATTATGTTTTTGTTACAATTTTCATAATGGTTTTATGGAACCATCAAACAATGATAATGAAAATGGTCGACCACAACAGATACACATTTCTTTAGGACGTTAGTATTGTTTGACACTAAATCATCATCCATGGATGATCATTAACATTTTGTTTGTTTTGTTTGTATTATTATTATATATACGACTTATAATTTGGTGTGTGTTTTGGAAATTGTAATAATAAAAATTCTTTATTATTATTATTATATTTTTACCATTTTTTTTACAAATGAATTCAATTTGAAATTTTAAGCCAATACCAGTGACATTATTATTACATGGACAACGTATTCATCATGTAATCAAACAATGGTTAAATATGGTATCGATTCGAATCAATTGAATCGATTTGCATTTGGTGATTGTAATGTATTTATTGATGGTGGTCCTAAACATCGAAAACATTATATTCATCGTGTTCGATTGTCAAATTTAAAGCCTTCCACTCGTTATTGTCAGTGGTATTTATATGACAATGAAATAATTTTCATTATCATTTTTTATTAATTAACATTTTTTTTGTTGTTGTTTCATTTTTAGATTATCAATGTTATGGATCAAATGGATTTCAAACACTTTCATCGTTATTGTATAATTTTAAAAGTCCTAATCCATACAATGATTGGAATGCTCGTATATTAATTTTTGGAGATTTAGGCTTAGAAAATGGCCAATCAATACCACGTATACAGAAAGAAATTGATGATGATAATATTGATATGATAATACATGTTGGTAAGTTGATATATGAATGATTCCATCCAATAATAATATCCTTTTTTTCTAATCTCTCAAACAAAAGGTGATTTTGCCTATGATTTGGATTCAGTACGTTACTCTCTCATATAATCCATTAATAGATAACAAAATGAATAATGAAAATAATAAATAGAATGATTCATATGTAGGTGATGCTTTCATGAGACGAATTGAACCGATTGCATCCAGAGTACCATATCAAACTTGTCCTGGCAATCATGAACAAAATTAGTCAGTTTTTTTTGGATTCATTTTGATATCTATTCATTCTTATAACATTCATTACTGATTGTGATTTCTTTATCATTTGAATAGTAATTTTTCCAATTACATCAATCGTTTCACAATGTACGATATGATCGATAGTAATATCAATAATCATTATTATACATTCAATGTTGGACCAATTAAATTCATATCATTTTCAACTGAATTCTATTTCTTCATTGAATATGGTTTCACACAAATGTTTCGTCAATATGAATGGTTGGAAAAAACATTGATCAATGCAAATGAAAATCGCCATAAACAACCATGGATTATAACATTCGGTCATCGGCCAATGTATTGTGGCAATGATAATTATGATGATTGTACAAGATTCGAATCAATCGTATGTTTATTTGTTTTTTTTTGTTTGATTTTAATTTTCTTTCAAACCAATTCTGTTTTCTATTCTGAAATTAGATACGAAAAGGATGGCCATATATTGGTTTAGGATTGGAAGATTTATTCTATAAATATGGTGTCGATATAGAAATTTGGGCACATGAACATAGCTATGAACGTATGTGGCCTGTTTACAATACAATCAAGCGAAATAAACAGACACAATCAAATCAAACACCAGAATAACAGCTAAAATTTTTCTTCTTTCTTTCTTTTTAATTAATTATTTGATTCCATTTTGATAATAATAATAAATAATATATATAATAATGATAATAAACATAATGCGAAATTTCAAACGCTCGTTTGTTCCATTCAAATCGTCCATAATGGTACTGTTGATCCAAATAATCCATATTATAATGCACAAGCACCAATACATCTAATAACTGGATCAGCTGGTTGTAAAGAACGTTTAGATTTATTTCGTTCACCACAGCCATGGAGTGCTAAACGTATTGTTGATTATGGTTATACAAAATTCCATATAATTAATCGTACACATATTTATATTGAACAAATATCCGATGATCAGGTATGTATACAATGTGTTTTATAACATCAAATTAATTAAATCATAATGATCACAATATAGCAAGGTACAATTGTCGATTCATTTACTGTAATTAAAAATAATGATTTACCTGTTTGGCTACATGAATAATAATAATCAAGCGAAATAAACAGACACAATCAAATCAAACACCAGAATAACAGCTAAAATTTTTTCTTCTTTCTTTCTTTTTAATTAATTATTTGATTCCATTTTGATAATAATAATAAATAATATATATAATAATGATAATAAACATCACAACAACAACAACAACAACAACAACAATATATTCTTCAGTTGACATTGTATTGTTTTTATTTTTGTCCTTATTATCATTATCATTATCGATCATCATTATCATTTATATTCATCATATATATAATAATGATAACATTCATATTTGTTTCATTATAATTTTTTTTTGTATATCATCATCATCATCATAATCATCATGTTCTATGGTTTGTATAAATTAAAGACCAAACGAAAAAAAAAAAAAGTAAGAAGAAAGTAAGATCTTTTCATTCATATAACAACGACAACGATATACTGTTATTTACAGAATTTATGATGATGATAATGGGCGATAATTATTATTGATCTGAATAAAAGATTTTTTTTCAGCTTTTTTTTCTCTCTCCTGTACAACGATCAATTGAATAGAGGCGCCTGTGTGTTTGTTTGTGTAGAATGAAAAACAAAAAATAAAAGAGAAGAAAATTTTTCATTCATTCTGGTTATTACAATTGATAATTTGTTGTTGTTGTTGTTGTTTTTTTAATAATAATAATAATAATAACAGATCATTTTGGGTATTTTTTTTTTTTGTTTGTTTTGTTTCATATATTCGTATATCAATGTTAGTTGTATATTTGTGTTTGTTGGTGGGTGTAGTCACATTAAAAATATCATAATAATCAATCAGAATGAATAAATGAATGATGGAATCATTAATAAATGAAAAAATGGAATCATCAAATCAATCATCAATAGAAGTTGTTTTTTCATATCTGATAAAAATATTCAAGACATTTTGTCATAATTAAATCATAATTAATCAACAACAATGATGGCAACAATTGTGTTTAATTGATTGTATTTGACCTGCATTTTTTTTGCATTAAATTCAATTGATTGATCGTTTTGTACGTATTTGTGTGTGTGTGTGTGTGTGATTTACTTATTCAACTAAATATACAAGATAAAAATGGATAACAGCAATGAAAGAAAATTTGATATTGAAAATTTTTTTTTTTTGGCCACAAATGTTTTTCTTTTGTTTGAGATCAAATTTACAATGTATGTTGGTTGGTTGGTTGGTTGGTTGGTTCAATATCGGCTAATAATTATGAAAATGATGAATTAGTTATATAATCAAACGATGATGCGAGAAAAAAAAATTTTCTTATTCCAGTATCTTGTGTAAATGATTACAATATTTATTCTTTTATACAAATAGAATAAAATCCTATTCTGTTTGTATGTTTGTGTGTGTGTGTTGAATAGGTAAAATTTGAGCTCTCATTATGAAATAAAATAAAAAAAAAAAAACAAAACAAAACAAACATTAATGTACGTATTAATCTGTCCGTTTTATTTATGAATAATGTTGTTTCTGTCACCATCGTCATCATTATTTCTGTCTTTACGTAAAATGATATAAATTATATATATAACTTTTAATATGCAATGCAATGTTTGCCTGTTGTTGTTGTTATTGTTTTTTTTTGCCACAAAAATGATGATTTTTATGATAATGATGAGCATGATGAGCATGATAATGGATCTTTGGCAATACTTTAACACACACACACACACAAATTCAATGTGTTAATCTGGTATGTATTTAAGAGGAATGACGATGGGTAACCATGATGATGTTGGTAACAAAATTTCTATTCTGAATAAAAATGTAACAGACATCCATTCATTGAAAGAAAAAAAAATTTGCCGATATGGACAATGAATTGAAATTGATGATTATGGATTCTGGTTGATTCTTGGTTGTCTTTGGTTTGTAACATAGAAAAAATTCTGATGATGATTATGATGATGATGATGATGATGATGATGAATTACTCCTATGATTACAAAGAAATTTTTGTTTTGTTTTGTTGATGGTTCTTTTATCTTCATTCATCACACACACACACACATAAATCTTGGTTATTATGATTTTTTTTTCATTTTTCATTTTCCATTTTTCTTTTTCATTTATATTTCTATATTCAAATTATTAAAAATGTATTTTTTCTTGGAACAATCAGAAAATAAAAGAAAACAAATTATGTCGATGATAATGGCAATGATGACGATAATGATGATGATAAGTTCGCTATTTTTTTTTTTTTTTTTGGTAATCACTATTGAAATTGTTTATTATCCATAGTTTCTGTTATATCTGTGTGTGTGTGTGTGTGTATGTGTTTCTGATTGTCTTCAAAAAAAAAAAAAAATCCAAGAGCTCCAATTATATATATGGATATTTTATTTTTATATGTCAGAAATTAGGATTGTAAACGTCTCGATAATAAGGACTGTATTGTTGTTGTTTGGCACTAGTGTTTTGCCACCATTGTTTTGTAGGCGTCATTGATGTTGGTGGTAATTGTTGTTGTTGTGATGGTTGCGGTTGTTGTTGTTGTTGTTGTTGTTGTTGTTGTGCTGTAATAGCACTTTGATGATGTGGATGATGGTATGCCGATGATGATGGTCGCCAATGGACTCCTGACGACCTTGCAGGTGTTCGGCTTAATTGATCATGATGTGATTGTTGTTGTTGTTCATCATGTATCATTGTGGATATATCGTTTAGGCCACCACAGCTAGTACTGTGATTGCCAATACGGGACGGACATTGGTTTGCTGGCACTGGTATTGGTCGATGACATGATGCTGACATGACGTTCGGACGACTTGGTGAATTGATTGATGATACATCGGTAACACTTGGCCTATGTAATGGATATATTGGAGGTGTATGTATAATTTGATTTGTCGACGTTGATGTCGATGTTGGCAACGGAGGCGGTGGCGGTGGTATTGTTGGTGCCGATACGGCTGATGGTGCTTGGCCAAGTGGTACTGGCTGTTGACTACCAGTTCCCGGTATCATTCGTAGAGGATGTGTACTCATATGGGCCGGTGGAGGAGGTGGCGGTTGTTGACTGATTGTTAAATGATCGTTTGTATTTACTGATGGCGGAGCTCCACGTTCATTTGTTCCATAACCGGATGTACGTCCATTGTTGGCCCCATGGTACATTGAACCGGTATTGAGCGGTGCTGATTGACAGCGACCCGGCTCTGGTCTAGGTACAATATGACATGGTAAACGTTGATGTAGGCCACCGGTACGTGCAAGTTCGTATCGTTTTTCATCTCGTCGCAATTTGTAGGCCAATGCGAATGCAAACGCAACAAGAAAAATTTTCGGTACCAACATAACATATACTTGTGTTGAAACATTACCGGTGAGCGGATAATTAGGAATTCGTGTCCAAGTAAATGGGAGCAAGCTGAACAATTGATTGAGCATTATAAGCAAATGTAATACAGCATACGTGACCAGGAGGTAGTAATTTTGAAAATTGAGACCACAAAGACAGATACCGGCCAAACAGCACATAAATGCCGCAACAAATGCCGATTTACCTGATTCATAGCCATCGACAACAATTTTTGGATAAGTGAATCCCCAAAAAGCGGCAATAAACATGGCCACCAACATTATTATGTTGCTCACAACGAGCACATAGGTCATGGCCCGATATCTGTTCATACTGCTTCAATGTAACAATATTGATGACGAATATTGACCGTCTTTAGCGACGGCAGCTATTACGTGTGACGGCGTCAGCTGAAAGACTTTAATCTTACACGTCGTCGTCATTAAAATACTTTCATCAATACATGTTCATCAAATGTTGCTGAAATGGATAACTAAATTATGGCCTTCTAATTCCTGTTTAATCGCTAAACAACTTTCATCAAATGAATTCACAACACTAATTATTATTTCACACTCGAATCACTGAAAGCAAAAACAATACAATTTGAAATAACAACAACAACAACAACAACAACAATAATAATAATAATAATAATGATGATGAATGAATTTTCAAAGAGAAGAGAAAGAGAGAGAAAAAAAAAAATGGACAGAAACAAAACGATTGAATTTATTGATATAATCGGATTTGATACACCGTTGCTGATCACTGTAATTGTGTGATTGAGAATTATTATTTTTTTTTTAATCTTTCACCACTTTAATTATTATATTATAAAAAATGATATGATGAGAAGGATATTAATTGATTTACGAATTGTAATTTACAGGCACAAACACACATACACATACGCACACATTCTTTATTGTCCATCATTTTTTTTTTTTTGTTATTATTGGACATTTCAATTATTGTAGAATTGTTGATATTAGTTCAAATAAATTATGATAATTGTTGTTCTGATGCATATGACATGATGATGATGACAGCATGATTGGTCATCATCACATATCATCATTTGTCCATGATTACCATAATGATGAAAATGGATAATAATCCATTCACAAAAAGGCCCATTATCAATGAGATACCGGAAAAAATGTTGAAAAAACAACAACAATAACAACAAAAGACATTATGGAAAAAATAATAATAAACTTAATTGTTCTAATAATGATTGTAGCCGTTTGTTGTTGTTGTCGAATAGTTGTAAGTATATTTTAGAGCAACATTTACATTGTTTCAATATTCTTTTTTTTCAGTGGATTTTTGTTTGTTTGTTTGTTTGGGTGTGCGTTTTATTTTCTGGTTATGGTTTCACATTCAGGTTTGTACATTCTCTATATGAACATTTTTGTCGTTGTTGTTGTTGTTGTTGTTGATAAAAAAAAATTCAATGTATAAATTTTATCTAATCTAAACAAAATGGATTGATTAATTATGCGAAATAATAATTATGATGATGATTTGAATGAATTTCTTTTTGTTGTTTGTTAATCATGATTGTTGTTGTTGTTGTTGTTGTTATGGTTGTTGTTGTTGTATGATTTTTTTTAATCATGAATATTCTTTTTTTTCGTTCGTAAACAATTTATTAATGATAAACGATGATAATTTCATTGAAATCATG